AATCTACTCTAGAATATAAATTACATGTATAATCTAAAAGAAAAGAAACTTTGAAGGTTTTCTTGTCAGTTCCTCCAAATTATGGCACAGCAAAAAGGTGAAAAATGGGTTTTGGGCGAACCATAACCCCAGACAGCAATGTAAACTGTTGATTTAGGAAGGATTGCTTTTGTCCTTTCTGCTTTTTCTCCAGCTCTGCCTCGCTGCTGCACTACAATAACGAATCATGAATCATGTACTCTCTACTCCTACACAATTCACCATAATCACTTTCTTTCCTGCAAGGAAAAAGGCAATTTTTTAACCCTACATGGACCAATGGTTTTCTGTCCCTACCTCACCATTAATTTTTGAGAGGAGGAAAAATTGCATTTGGTTCAGCTCTAGCTGTCAATACATAGGATAGACTTCAAGTCACCGAGTGCTTTCCAGAGGAGGGAGAAACCCCTCTGGTCCTGCTCAGGTCAGCAGTCAGCTGAGACTTGGTTTGAACTGTTGGCAAAGTTCTTGTACACACAAAGCATCTTGCCTTTGCAATGTGTTTCCTCAGTAGGTCTTTGCCTTTGCTCTTTCTGGAGGTGTTTCAAGACGCATCTGTTCCCTTCTCTGCCCCTTCTCTCCATGCCTGTGAGCAGGGATCTGAAAGCCTTGGTGTCAGATGCCTCAGGCAGATTCAGACAATCCCAGGTGGAAGGCAGAACAAGCACATGGACCCTGAGCATGTGGTGCTCATGGATGTTTAGATCCAGGACAGTCATTTTTTTATACAATTGCCACCAACTGGGATGGTTCACTAAGAAGCTCTGAAGTACCTACTTGAGTTTCACATTCCTGGTGTAATATGGAGACCTGAAGGAATTTCCATGCTGAGAGAGGCTCTTCTCCATGCTTTATGCTGTGTTTAATTTATGTTACAATTTAAAAAGTCAGAATTGGTTTAGGTATCAGTGAGCCATGGGATTTATCTGATCTTCCTGAGTTTTTCAATTAACCTTACATTAGCATCAGTAGTGTTCTATCATAGAAAGACTATGATTTTGTCCTTGCAAAAAACACACTCTGGACTCAAATGTTGATTTATTCCAGGTGTGCTGCTATAAAAGTGAAACCTGAACACATGCATTAGTATTTTCAGTATTAGGATTTAGGAGCAAGTAATTTTTAAAAACTGAGAAAATAAAAAGATTATTTAGAATGTGAAAGCTTATTAATGAAATATAATACACTGAATTGCTCTGCTCTGCAATGATGTTTATGCAGTGCTACACATCCACTGGTAAATTGTAAAAAGATTATTTTTAATAAAAGACTATTCTGAATCAAATTGCACATAGCTGGGGAACAAAACCCAGAATATAAAGTTAGTTCAAATGTATACATTTATAGTATAAGAAGCTTTTGGTTTACCTTCAAAGCATTAACACACTCCTTGAGTTTAAGTATTTAAGGATTGAAGAAATAATAACCCCTGTTATAAAGCATTCTTTTTAATTTTTACAGGATTACATTAAATCCAAATGATATTATAAAATATTTAAAAGGGGTCCTATTAATTATGATTAACATTGAGACAGATAAAGGTGCATATAAACATGTGGAAAAATCAGGATCTCCCCTAAACTTTTGAAGAAAAAAATTATTGTGCTGTAAGTGTCTTCAGTTTGTGGAGGTATGAAATCATTGCCCTAGAAAAGAAAGAGATGAAACATATATTATTAATATGAATGCATCTCGCAGAGACATTTCTGAGAATAAACTCTAAGTAGAAGTGTTGTTTGGGGTTGCCGAGTTTCAAAGGAGAAATTATTCCTTACATTTAAATTTATTTTAAGAACCCAATAGCAAATTAATAATCTAAAAACCCAGGCTCAGAATAGCAAGAATTTTCTGCATATCCCTTGAGAATGACTGAAGTAACATCTAGAAATGGTTTTCAGAATCTGGCATTCTGGGTCTTTAAAACCAGAACCTTATCCTAGCTACCTATCTTATGCATTAAATAAATGGAAAGAAAAAGAAATGTAGTGGGATTTCTAAAGCTCTGAAAACACATAACCCTTTATAATTGATGATGCTTGGTGACTTAACTTAGGTACTTCTGGAAATCCCATTACAATTATTTGAGTGATGTGACATTTTAAGGGAAAATGGAGATGGAGAGAAAGGATTTGTAAATATTTCCCTTAATTTATGGAATTAAGATCTTTTTAATGGAATGCTAAGAGTACAGATTTGTTTGGCCCAGTGCCTCCCATTATTCCAAAAACAATTTTAACACAAAAAGCACACCCATCTGGTAGGGAGAGCAACATATTATGTTCACCTCTTAAACCGTGTGTCAGTTCTGTGTGAGAATGGCTGTTAGGTTGTACCTAATGTCAATGTAACCTGCAGTTATTACTGTTTCCCATACTTTAATGTCGTTGGCAGCCTTGCCAAAAGAATGAGAAATTATGATCTAATTGAGATAGGTCCTGTGAAAGTGTATGGCAGAGCAGAATTATTTTACAATATTTGAGCAATATTCAGTCATTTTAAGTTGGCATCCTGATGAAGTAAATAATAAAAGACACAAAAAAATCTTAAAGATAAATGAAAGAAATGCCCGTATATGATCAGTTATTGTCTATGAGGATATCCTGGATAGTGGTTATCCTGTTTGATCCTGAGTTCACTCAGTTCTAGATGCCCTTTCTTGTTAGAAATTTTAGTCAGGTTTTCCTGAGAACTGCCCTGCTCTGTCCATGTTTGACCTTCTAGTCTTGGCAAATACAGAGAGCTCTCTGGAAACTCTTGTTTAATAATGCCTTGGACAATTTGTACAGAAAAACATGCATTACATTCTTGGCTCTAGCTCATAATATCTACCATGAAAAGGTTACTTGAAGTAAGGTAATACAGTAATTGGATTTCTTTTGTATTTAATCTTTCTTTTTTTTGCTGCTTCTATCATTCATTTTCATTTTGTCAGCAATTCAGAATTCATTACTCTTTTGTTCCCAGATGGTCTCTTTTTGCTTCACAATTGTGATCTTTTAATAAACCAGAACTACTTAACTCTCAGAATTTTTTGCCCTATGAATTTTCTGTAGAGAACTATTGCTTTTCCCCTGTCAATTTTTTTTCCTCTTATTTGTCTGAACCTTTTTACAAGCATCTGCCTTTCTCCATGTATTTATTGAAATTATGCCTAGGTAGCACTCTGCTGGTCTCAGTAGGTTCACACAGGAAGAATAAAATCCACTTTGCTTTTTCCTGATGTCTATTTCAGTTTCCAGGTTCCTTTTTTTTTTCAGTGTGAACTGATTGTGTCTGTATAAGAAAATTGCTGTGGCATTCAGACACACACACATGAATGTTCTGGCACTGTATCCCAGTGTACTGAATAAAGAACAGTCTGGACTCAAGTACTGTTTTCAGCCCTGGAAATTAATTGAAATGTGAGTCTCAGTCAGCATTTCCTGATGCAGGTACAATCTGATCATTGATGTGGGAGAAAACTAGGATAAGCATACCCACTTCTATCACAAAGCAGCAGGAATATACTTAGTTACTAAATTAAAAAAGCAATCTATTTTCACCTCTAGAAATTACTAAAGTCTTAGGAACAGTAAAACGTTCCTCTCAAAATGTTATTTTGCTTTTTCTTCTGTCCAAGAAGTGGGATTAAAAAATGTAAAGTACTACATTACTCATGTCCTTCAGTATATTTTTAATAAATTTTTCCTTGTGTCATGCACTACTGACTGCAATGCATTTGAAATATGCAAAAGGCAGCAGTTCTCTTTAAACAATTTCTTGGGATAAATTGGTGCCTCTGTTTTCTAGTTCCCTCTACATGGATCAAAGCTAAGAAAGTAACTAATGTGTTGTCCAGAGTCTTTTCTCCAGCTTTTTTAGCTCTGCCTCTGCAGAGAATTCCTGTCAGTATTGAATTTCTTTGATTTTTTGTGACACAGGCTGCCTTGCTGTGTTTTCTGCCTCCTCTAGAGTCTCCATGGGATTAGAGATCACGTGCTACCTTAGCTTAGTGTTCTTGACCTTTTTTAGATGATTGACACTGCTGAATGATTACAGCAAAGCAGCAATATTCATGACCTGTGTATGTTCATTTCAAGGAGAAAATAATGTTATTTGAGATGAGTAATCTGGGCTATGTCTTTCTGCTGAGTAAATGTAGGAGACCTGCCTGTAGTGAGTCATGATTCCTTTCCTATTTGTTCTGGTTAGTGCACATTTCTGGTGTGCTCTCCTTCTTCTAAATGCTTTACTGTGCTCTGATTCTGTTAGCCCACATAGCTAAGAGACCTAAATATTTTGGGCTTGATCAGCAACATAAAATTCATCAGGCTTGAAGGCAGCAGGCATATGATATGTACCTTCTCATATATTTAAAAAAATAAAGCAGAAGAAATTAAAGCACCCTAAGATACCAGCAATGTATTTATGATGTGAACATGTAAAATGGTATAGGGATTTTGTGCTCTTGCTTACACAGTATTTTGTTGTTTTTTCAATTTCTTTATTTTTTTCCCTTAGTTTTTTATTCAGTGAATTTCCCACAAGAATTCTGTCAAGGTTTGGCTCATAAATAGGAATGAGTTTGGTAAAGTTCTTGTACACACAAAGCAAACAGCAACTTTACCAAATGTTCAATCCAAAGGGATCCATGTGTCTCTTTATGTTACTGTTTTGGAAGACATTTAACGGAACACCTGTCTGGCTTTATTGCAAGTTCACAAACAAAGATGCAAATTTGAAGCAAAAAGAAAATCTGGCACTGCATCATAAGGACTTCAGTACTGGAATTTCTTCCTGTATCAAGGGGTTGTGTATCTGTGATGCTTAATCATCATTATTCAAATCAATACTGTTACTACTATTAACATTAGATTAATCAATATTATATTACTTCAAAATTATCATTAGAAGGATATGTTAAGGCTATGTTGCTATGTTGCCATAGTTCCTTTCTCAAAAACACCTTTTTGTACGTGTAGGCCATCGAACATTGTTCATTGGGGTACATGTGCCACTGGGTGGAAGAAAAAGTCACCGACGCCATCGGCACCGTGGGCATAAACACAGAAAGAGAGACAGAGAGCGGGACTCAGGATTAGAAGATGGGAGAGAATCTCCTCCTTTTGGTAAGACAAACTTTATTTCTGGATATGTCTTTAAATAATAAACGTCAGCATGATTGTGCATACTGTGTCCTGTTATCACTTGGACATGAGTAGCAGCAGGGGTTTGGAGAATCCACCAGAGCCTCTGCTGGTGATTCATTCCTTTGAACAAATCCACTGGGGCAGCAGCCAGTGGCAGGCAATGCATGAGAAAGCTCAGTGGTTTCTAGCACTGTGGGAGCACTGTGGGAGCTGTTCCTAAGTGCTCTCACAAGGACAGACTTCAGCCACCACTGAGGGGGGAAGGGGGAAATGCTTTATGGCACCAGCTGCCCTCGGGATACCCACTGGAGTATCTGCCCCTAAAATGTAATACAGAAGAGCTGTGGTCCTTTACAACTAGTTTTGTAGTAATGTTGATGTTACTGAAGCTGCAGTTTTTTGTCAGATTCTAGCCATGATCTAGGCTGTGTTTACTTTTTTCCTAACATGACACTGTAAATATGCCATTGTAACATGAATCTGCTAACTGTGGACTTGAGGAAAAAGCAGGGGAAAATGCCTTTCAGTAAACAAACTTGATATGAAACTCCTAAAGTTCTCAAAATTTTAAGTTTGAAAACCTTAGAGAGAAGACAAGAAGGCGGTCATTAATAAATTAGTCAAGCTTTGTCTCAGAACATGAGAATATTACATGCTGTTTGAAAATAAAAAGTGCATGTGATGAAATGTCCAAGGCTATGGAAAATGTTTAAAATATAATGGAAGCATGTGTAGAAAACAATTTGATAGTGTGTTTTTAAATCATTAGGGAAATGTGCCAGTGTAATTTCAGGTTACAGAATAGTAATTATAAGGCTTTCTTTTAATCAGAAGTTTGTATTATGTATGTGGAAATCTTTTGAGCAAGTATATTGTAAGGGGTGATGGTTAGAGGTTGAAATTCTCAAAATTTGCACAATGGTTTATTATACTGAGACTAAAACAAAGTCAAGACTTTTTCAAACTCAGCAAATACAAGTTATGTTTTGAAGACTGAACAGTGAAGAAAAAATTGGCGGCGGTGGTTCTGTCTGGAATGGATTTCAAATGTACAAAGACCCAATACTATACTGAAACCAGTTTCTTGGAAAAAAGCAAAGTTCATAAATTATTAAAACAGTTTTCAAAAAGAATATGCATATATACATATAAAGTCAGATTACAAAGAAACAATTGAAAGTTACATTAGCCAAGAAGTGAGATATCTTGAACTATGAAACAGTGTCTTCTGTTGAGTCATCTGGTTTTATTTAAGTGCCAGTATGTGACACATTTTGGCTGAGAACTTAGCTCTGTTCTTTCAACTTCTGGAGACCTAGGCTTGTGTCCTTCTTAATGTCAAAAGTAAAAAAAAAAAGAAATTAATGGCTGAATCTGTTCTTAATTGTCTTTGACATTTGTCCATACAATAAAATGCAATGTTTAGCATAATTCTGTGTTAGGTAAATCAGCCTATGTTCAAAGTATCTCTGAGGGTGAAATAGCAGTAATATGAAAAAAAAGATAGTCTTGAAGATTTGTAGCTCGATGTTCACTACACTCGTCCTCTGTGTAACCCAAGAAATTAGTACAGATCTGCAGTTTTTAAAGTCACATTTTCACTTTTAAAGGTATTATAGTTACCAATTAAAGGGTGTGTGTAAGTGGTGTCACTTGACAGGCAAGTTACAGGCCAGAAACATGGAAATCTTTTCTGGATTCAGACTGCTGAAGATATTCTTCAAAGTGCTTGGTTGAAAACAATTCAAAGAATCCAAAGATATAACCACAAATCTGGAAATATCCAGTCTTTTCATCATGGATAATTATCTGAATAGTCAATTCTGAGGGTTTTCCCCTTTGTCTATCTGACTGCTGGAAGCTGGGCCAGTGAAACAGATTTTGAGCTTTGACACTGGTCCATCCAGGCAGAAATGTGGCATTCTATAGACAAGATTGAAAGGGATTTGCATAATCAAGGCAAATCTTAAAATGCTACACTGATGGTGAGGTTAAGCACATACAGAATAGTCAGAAAAAATAATACAGAGATTAATAGTAGTCTATATACACCTCCTTCTTTTACTATGTTTTTTCCTTACAGGAGTTTCAGACAATTTGTTGTGCTGCCTGGGGAGAAGGATTGCCTTTAGAGAGAATATAAGCATGGTTTTTCTATGCTTTATTTGCACAGAGGGAGCAACAGATACTTCCCACACTAAATCTGAACCTACTAAACCTCAGTAAGCTTCTTTTAGCTGTCCTTACCCATGGCTACAACTTTTTAACAGTAGCTAGAACTGAGGAAGCTCGAAGGAAGCAAGTACTCTTCCTTTTATTGATATGTAACTCAATATGAGTATTACCTGAGAGAGTAGATCCAAACTAGTCCATAATTTATAAATAATTCTGATTTAATTGAGCAAGCAGAAATGCTTAGCTCCATCTTTCTATTGACACCTTTTAATGCATTTCTGCCAAATAGTAGAAGGCTGTATGCTTGGAACTGTGAGGGAGGAGGGGAAAGAAAAAAACATTTTGATGAGCAGGTGCAAGAAAAGATGGAGAAAATAAGCACTGTGAGACCAACTGATAGAAAACAGTGCTTTGAAGTAAGTCAGAAAAATACATAAGGATTTTTATGATACAAGAGAATAAATTAGCAGTGTTTTGAAGCAGTGAAGTATGAAAGGAGATATAATAAAAGCAAAAGATCCAACAACTGAATAATAGAGATTCTGGAACAAGACCTGAAATACTCAGACGTGAAGTGCTCCTCGCTGTTCAGTTAACCCAGCATTGGATAAAGCATTATTTTTTGTCATAATCCATAACTGTGTAATTTATAACTTTGTCTGTGCAGTGCCATCATGTGCAGCCCTTGCTCTGCTGTCCCTGCTGCAGGGAGCTGTGCAGTGCACCTTGTGCTGTGGGGCTCTGTGGGCCCCATGCGGAGTCACAGGTGCCACCTGGCTCCTGTCCAGTAAAAAAACAATTCCTTGAAGTGTTTTCTGTGTATCAGCATGGGTAGAAAACACCTCTAGTAATGTAATGACTATAGGGGGAAGCTTCCTGGTGATCCCTTTGAATCCTCTTGGGGAAAGCTGTACCATCTTACCATCTACTTTCTGGGAAGGTTTCTGCAGAGAATAGATTTTTTAAGAACATTCTGACATTGGCTCATTAGCTTTTTTTTTTTTTTTTTTATCTCCTACTGTCACTTTTCAAAAATAACCCAAGTGTTCTTAGTGTACAGATTCAGAGATAACTCCAGATTAGACAAATAACATGCAGAATATGTAGTTAGTGGGATGAGAGTCCTGTCATTTAGGGGCACAGACCAGTTACTCAGGTTTGGGTTTTGTTTCCCCTACACCTGATTCTTGCTGTTGTCTCTTAATGAGATAACTCTTGTCTGTTGCCTCTTAATGAGATTAGGTTGTAAAAGGTGTTACTATTTTGCAATAATGATGTGGCTGTAATGGCACAATTTACAGATTTGATGGTTTGCACATTGGGAGGATTTTTTGGATAGTAAAAATTGTAAGCTAAGTGATTTCAGTAGTCTAGGTTTTCACCATCTTGTCTCTTAAGTTTCTTCTGTTTGAAGAGAAGGAGAAATTCAGTGAATTTATCCACTCTAGTTAAAAATGCAGTAGTGCTATTTGTTTTACAGGAGAGGTTTACTGTTCTCTTCTGAAATGCTGCTGTTGTAATTAAGGCCCCAATTTCATCTCAGCCTTAAGCTCCCTTTTTCCACAGTTTTCATTGTGGGGTGAAGTATAGTGACTGCTTTGTGAATTAAATTAGGGAATTGATGCAAATTAAAACTTATTTGATAAAAAAAAAAGCTCTTTCTAGCCTGGGGCATCTCCTTGGTGCTGCTTGTGAGGGCAATGGGTGCCAGTCCCTGTGAGCTGCAGGGCCACCAGGCTCCATCAGTGCTGTGGGTCGTGGTGGCACTGAAAGCCTGGTGCAGATTTCCCTTTGGCTGGTGGGGTTGCACTTGCTTGTGTGCATGTGGATTTTAGTGGCAGTTTTCTGTGGCTTTTTCGATGTCAGTTGTTTGCCTGTAACCAATGAAACAGCTCTTTGGTACTCATGAGTTAAAGATCCTTAAGTAGCTGTTTTAAAATTGTGGAATCAGAACACTTTGGCTCTCAACAGGGTGTCTTTAAGGACAGGTTTTATTGAGGGTTAAAGCTGCGAGAGCTGGGGTTTGATTACAGCCTCATGTGTGTCCTGTACAAGTAGACACAATTGAAGCTTGCGGAAGGTTTGGTTTGTTCTTTTAAGAAATCTAGATTTAGTAATCTCTAGTTTTAAAGAGGCTTACATTTGTAATTTATGGTATTGGATGTGGCAAGGCAAGCGGAGCAGCCCTGGAGGTGAGCCTGACAGGACTGCACACACAGCTCAGGCAAGACTCTGAAGGCAATGCGGGCAAAGAAAGTGAGTTGCAAAATGGGGCTTCTTTTGGTTAGTAGAAGGACCTGAAGAAAGTAAATCTAAAAGACTCAGCTGGATATATTTGGTATCTAAACTCAAGTGCTGAAGGGTTATTAGTGGGGTAAATTTAATTATTTGTAAAGAGTATGGCTGTTAAGAGAATTCACCTACTGTTAACTATAGGCTTGTATGATGAACGATGAGCTCAGAAATTTGAATCTCTGGGCAGCTGTGGCACAGATTGCTGCAAATCTGGATTAAAATAATGTATCATAACTGCAGTTTTAAGAATCTAGCAAAAAGAAGATAATTAAAGCTTTGGAATTGTCCATATTGTCAGATCCAAGAGATATGATTATTTGCCATAGCCCCGGTTTGATGAACATAATTAATGTCAAGAAAATGCTGGGATAGGTCCCTGAAGCAGATTGTACCTGCCGGGATAAAATGCCAGAGAATAACCAAAGGAATACTTTCTCCCAAAGGAATACTTTCTCCCAGCCCAACATGTGATTTCTAAGGTCTGTGAAGAGACTTCCAGAAGTGTTCTGTATGGCTGTTTGCATTTGCTGTTTTATGTGAGCTTTAGTCATGCAAATTTAGTTCAAACTTTTACTAAGTTTTCTAATTAATAAAATTGAATTTATGATCCTTACCTGTACTGATTGCTGAGCTAAGGGTGGGGTCCAATCTGCAAAAGAAGGAGGTTAGGGGAGAGTCCCCATCCTCCATTTCTGTGGTGAGTACAAGCAGGAAGATGATGAATATTTGTGTCTGAAACAAGCCTTTCTTTTCTTTGCTCCTGTGAATTTTCCATACCATTTCCCCTTGGCTTGTGAAGGATTGTTATTAATGTCAGCTGTGTTACACTTTTTAACTCCCAGTCTGCTCTTGGTCCTGTGCAGTGAGTAATAAATAAAATAGTTTGCATATGTAATATTATTTTAATGTGGATGTACAAGAGCACAAAGCATGGATTAAATATTGTGTATGTTGCTTACTATTTTAAGTGAACTTCTGTAATGAAAGTTTTATTTTAATAGTTAGCATGTTTTCTAATGTGGACAAAGTGATCTCTTACTTGTTCATCTGCTGACCCCAGTAAGAAGTATTTGCCTACTAATTCTACCAGGCTTGACAGGCTGAGAAATATAGGGAGTGTTACTAGAAATACATTTTTGCACTCTTTGTAGAGTTTATCAAGAACAGAGGACAGAATTTAGATGCATTTTATATGTACAGAAAGCTGTGTTTTTGCTTGTGATATCACCTGGTGGATTGTGTGCAGTTCTGCCTGATGGCAGGGAGGTTTGTGCCAGTGGAACTCGGGCACTCACTGAGGAGATGCGGGTTACTCTGGCTGGTGTAGTGGAACAGAATGTTTGCTGGGCTGAATTTGCAGTGAAGGAACTGAGAGTGATTTTCCTTTTTTACCCCAGACCAAGTCTTGATTTTACCTTCTCTTAGGCAAGAGGGAGCAGCCCTGACCCAGAGTTGTGGTTGCAATTGGGGATGTTTTAAATGGGGGAAATGCCAGTTATAATTCCTTTCTACTTGTGTTTTGCAAGGTGGGATGGTGTTGTGGGATGCTGTTTGCCACTGCCTGCACTCAGCACAGTGCCAGGGAGCAGCTCTTTGTTTCCCTATGGGAATTAGGTTATTAGAAATTCTGGCTTTCAAATGTGCTCTTTTGGTATGTTTGTGCCCACATCTTGCATTTGCTTTAGGGATGTTGATGTCTGTACAAGGTGTCATAATATAGATCAATATACCAGGTTTCTTCAGGGTCACTCCCTTTCTGCAGCACTGCGTTCCACTTTGAATTTGTGTGTACAACAATAGCTTAACTGCCAGGTCTTAATTGTTACCCTTTTATTAGACCAGTGGAATTAGCCAGATTTTTAAATATGGAATACTCACAATTTGCATGCATTTTGAGGTGTCAGAGGTAGTTTGGATGCAAGTGCTGCACATATGAAATGAGCACAAGCCAGAGAAACCCAGGGATAAAACAGAGGGGCTGGTGGAGCCACAGCAATCACAAAGCTGCTTCAGTTTCCCTGAGTGACACTGCTCATTAGCCAAATAGGAGCGCTTGTTGATGGTACTCCAGCTCCTGTTGTGCACTCGGCTTTCTACCCTTTTCTAGCTGGTCGTGGAGGATTTCCTGAATTGGTGATGAACAAGTTACTTGGGAGAATCATCAGCCGCTTATTGTGAAATTTGAAATTCATGTTGCTTCTGGTAACTCTGATATAAAACAATAACAGTGATAGAAATACTACTGTAACCGATTAGTCTTGGTCGTTAATTTTTTTAAAAGAGTAATTTAGATTGTTCTCATTACATTTTAGAAATAGCAATAATAGTATGAGGGATTCTTTTTTTTATGCTGGCTGTGCTACTTGAAGTAGGGATAGACAAAAATAATATTCAAGCCAATTTTTGTTTGCCTAGACTGCAGAAAACATTGTGTCCTAGTTTGCAAATATTATTCTTCTGCACTGAGGATTAAGTTATCACAGTTTGACAGTCAGCAATTGAAGTATTATTCCATACTCATTTTGAATCACATATTACTAATTTTCTATATAACATATTAATGACATATTTATTAATCCTATTAATATGAGCCAAATCTATCTGGCATTGCTCATGAATAGTCCTATTAATTCAGTTTTATAAGTGGAACCAACAGATCTGTTGTTTTTATTATAATTTTCCTGTTGTTTACATCTTTTAGGGTTTTGTCCTTGAAATAAAATTATTGTATCATAAAGCAGATGATAATTTTTTTTTTCAGTTTCAGCTTGTTGTCTGAAAATGAAGCTGTGACTTACAGGTTTCAAATATCAATAGAAATCACAGCAGTAAAGAAAGACAGAATCTAGCTGCTATTTTTACTGCTTAGTTAACAAGGAAGAAGATAATTTAGTGTATATTTCGTCATTTCTATAAATGTGGTGCTTAGGGGTGTGGTTTGGTGGTGGACTTGGCAGTGCTTGGTCCCGATGATGTTAGATGCCTTTTCAACCTGAAAGATTCTGATTCACTGCTGTCAGTCAAGTAGCTTGTTACACAGAAGACCCAGTAAGAGCAAATTACTGCAGTGAGGTGATTCCTTGTTACTGCTCACCTGACTTCAGGAGGTGTCTGATCCTCTGTTTTTCTTCCCACGCTGAAAGCCTGTATTTGCATGAGGATCAGAACTGTCACAGAGCTGCAGCTCTGCTGTGCGACACTGCTCATTTATTACTTAACAGTAGCAGTTGCTGTAAATCAGTTCTAGTGCTGATTTTATCTAGAGTACAGGATGTTCCTGGCAATGCTTATTCTCAGATTCTAGCTGCAGTCCGGCTCTCTACCAAAGTAGCTTGTTTTCCATGTTCTGTTAGTAGTCATATGCACTAATCCTTTGGAAGTTCATCTCTCACTGAATTTTGTCCTTCTGGAAATTAGTTTTAAGAAATTGCACACTTCTTAACTAGAATGTACTTTCTTGTCTCAGATTGAAAGAAAAAAGTAGAATGCTTTTAAAGAAAAAAGAGGACTGAACAGTGAGAGAGAAGAGAAAGCAAAGAAAGGGTAAAGTGGAGGAGTTTCTTGCTGTTCTTCCGTGATTCACCAGAAGTAATTCCTTTAGCTGCAGTTCCATCCTCTGGTTCTTTGTGGTACCTGAGTCCAAATATCTCTTTCTTCTCCTGTATTTCTCCTTAGGTTTAATTTTCTTGTTTTGTGAAGGAGTAAACAGGCTTTACTGCACTACATCTTTACACTGTGTTAAAGCAAATAGATTTCAGGTGAAAACTGTCATGTATTGTTTGTGTTTCATTGCTATAGCAAGTTTAGTACAACTATCAAAAAGGTATCTCTGTTGCTGAATTTAATTTTCTGTGTCAGTGGCCCATTTCATTTGTTTGGATCAGAGCTGTGTTTTCCCTTTAATTAGCACAAAATAGGTGCTATAATCTCATTTTTTTCCAATATTCAAAGAGCGTTGGGACCCTGTGCAGTGATGCTCTTTGCTGTTAGATGGAATACCGTAGCTTGTCTTACAAATATGTTATAGAACTGAACTTCATTTAGACAATGTTCAAGGAATCACTGAGCTGTTCTTCTGGATAATCAGTTTTTCAGTTGACTGGCAGCCTGGCCTCTCTCAGCTCTCACAAAGGATTTCCAGTTCCTTTCAAAAATCTAAAATACATTAGCAGAAAAAGCAGCTATGTATTGCTAGAGAGACTGCACTTCAGAGTTTTTTCATTTGAGATTTGCATTTAAATGAGCAAATAGGATATAGGGGTTTTTTTATATATACAGCACTTGAGCTATTAGCATTGAATATACATGTACTTTAAAATGCTCTGTGATTTTATTGAGTGAAAAAAACAATAGTATGTCTTCAAAAATATATTTAGCCATCTGCACTGAAAGGTTATGAAGAAAATTAATCAGTAACAGTATTGAAAGGGAAGACAGGAAGAATAACATGAGGAAGCCGGACAGATTAAGAAGTTGTGTGTCTCAAGCTGCCTAACCAAGTAGAAAGAGTTAGCAAAGGGGCAAGGGTTAAGTCTGCAATTGTATATTCACATTAGGCAGGTTTCATTTGGTTTGTTTCTCCTACAGCAAAGATTTCACATTTAGTATTCTGTCTGTGACCTGAGATGGATCTGCAAATGTAGACTTATGAAGTGGTAAAGTAGATTTTCCTATCTTATCAGCTTTATTCAGCTTTATCTGTGCTACTTCCTCTGTCTATTTTTTTTTTTTTTCTTTTCCTGGAAGATACCATTCCAGATTCCAATACACCCTGTTTCTATATATCAGGTTATATCTTTGGAGGAGTTTTTTGAAAAGTGGACTTGACAACTACAGTAAATGAAGAGATCTCAATCTGAAAGTATTTATATGTAGTTGAATATTCTTACAGCAGAACTGTAATTTTTTTGTGCGGCAGTAAGTGATATGCATGAAAACATCTGGATAATCTCATAAAATTTGTTTTCTCAGGGCAAGAAAATTGGTGTTTTGGACTTGATATTTTTATTTTTCTCCAGATACCCCATCACAAAGGGTGCAGTTTATTCTTGGAACAGAAGATGATGATGAGGAACACATTCCTCATGATCTCTTCACTGAGCTTGATGAGATCTGTTGGCGTGAAGGAGAGGATGCAGAGTGGAGGGAGACAGCAAGGTAAGCATTTTTATAACTTAAAAATCATCTGTAGGTATTGGTTGCTGGTGTATTCAGGAACAATTTCAAAGCAGTAGCAAGCTCAGGGACAGATTTTGGATATAAAGCTTAAATAAAACCAGAATTTTAATCCTTAGTCTATTAGTATTACAACAGCATTCGTCATTTCTCAGAGCCAAATATTTTCATTAGGATTTGTGAATATAGGTCAGAGTGAACACCAATGGAAAAAAATAATGTAAATATACCATATATGTGAACTAAAAATCAGTGGGTCAATTCATATTTTATCTTCTAATTCAAAGAGTCTAACTTCATATTTTGTTTCAATCCTGAAGAAACTAAGGGAAGCATTATAAAAAGATTAAAGCAAGTAATGAGATTACTTCTGGAGCAATAGAACTTTTGCATATTCTAAGTCTCCATGAACAGTTTATTTTGAGAATGAGTATTCAGTGTTGGACTATTTTATTTCTGCAAAATTAGTTGGAAAGATTTTTAGATTGCATTTCTGGTGTGAAAAAAAAATGGTATAGAACTTTTAATTGTGTTATTTTTTTCCTTGAGCACTTAAATGGAAGATAATTTGCTTAGTTTCATTAATAGTTTGCATTTTACAGCAATCTTTGTTTTATTTTTCATCTTGAAACCTTAATTCTTCCTCTTCATGCCAGGTGTTGACAGTGTTCCTCAATGGTGCCCAAAGGTCTGTGTGATAATATATGTTTGGTAGAATATAAATTGCAAAATTTCTGGAAGGATTTTGTGGGTAACTGTGTATTTGTACTGGCTGACATGAACATGGCTGGTAGTTTTCTTTCTAATTTTACTGCAAATTTCTGCTTTCCCAGAGGGCCAAAATTTTTTCTATGACCTTCTCCTCCATTACCTGTTCATAGGCAGCATAGACAGATGCTAAATACAGATTTTTATGTGTAGAAAATTCTCATATGGGGATTGTGCTGCAAAAGGAAGGCAGTAGTGTTCCTAAATAATCTTATTAATATGCAGAGAGAGAAAATCTAATCAAGGTAATCATCTGCAATGTTCTCATACTGATTAGGAATACACAGAACCTCGCTAGGAGGGGTATTAACTTCTGTTGAAATTAAAAAGTAAAAATCACTGTGTGTTATTTTTAAGCAGGGAAATAGCAACTTTAGTTCAACTTAAAAAAAATCCCTTTGTGAATTATCAATGATTTATGATTTCATATCAGAATTTTAACAATTTCTGTCAGCAAGTGGTTCTGATGAAGATAGAATTCAAAAAGAATAGGTGAAGTAAGTTTGTTTCAAGTGATCTGTCTAAATATGTACACCCTTCTCAATTATTTGTGAAATGAAGAATTAAAAATGTTTAATAGAAACAAGATTGTTGAAAAAAGGCAGGAGAAAAACAGCCGAGAAAACTGCATTTTTGGAGCTCAGAAAATACAAGAATGACATAATAGCTAATAGTAAAATTTTCTTTAGCTTTAGCAGTAAGATGGAAAGAAAAGAAGAGTGGGGCTGCTGCGTGAAAAGAACTGAGATAAATGGTCTTTTTCGGTTTGCCCCTAATTTCAGACTGCATTTGACATGGGGTGGCCGGTTAGAAAGGAGGAGATGGCAAGGAAATGGCCAAATTCAAAATGGAGATAAGACTCAAAGTGCTTCTCTGTGCAAATAAGAGGGTGTAACAATTTCCATCCCAGAAAGGTGAAAGAACATGTATTTAATGGGTAGGGCAACTCCTGTCTCTCTGTGAGTCTGTCAGGTGTGCAGTACTGACCCAAACGCTGCAATGCTGTTAAAGAAAGGATAAAAGTGGTTGGGGCAAACAGAGCCCTTATAGTCCAATTTCAGAGCCATACAACTGGAAAGAAGGAAAGAAAAATTCTACACTTGGAGATCAGTGGTATGTCATGTCAGACTAAGTTAATAATGCTTTTTAATCAGATAATTGATTTTTGTTTTTCTGACAAAGAAAAAACAGTGGATCTAAATTTTTCTAAGTAAAGCATTTGATATGGTACAGCAGTGGGAATGTATTACTTAAACTGCATTCTAGTGTAAAAATTGTATTAGTAGGTCAGGAACTATTTGAAGAGGTGCAGCAGGCCATGCTGAGAGATTATACTATTAGTGTGAAAGGTAGTGACAGCTAGCTTCTAAAGAATTAGGCTTAGTAAATAGATTTATTATTGAATTTAAAATGGGATTATAATAAGAAAACTTGGTGATAATAAGAAATGAGAAGGTATTACTCTAGAAACAGAGGTACTCCTCTAGATAAAGGTATCATACACAAAGAACCAAGTGGCTTTGAGTAGAGTAATAGAAATGGGATGGTGTTTAATATGCAAGATCATGTGCTTAGAAACTAATACAGTGGGTCACTTTAAATACCTGTGATTGATTCAGGACTTCAGAATTATTGATTTGACTAAAAGCATGGTGTGGAGAAGATACAACCTGAATTTGTTGCTGTTCCAGGCTTATTGTATGTTTTTCGTCTGTGTGCAAAATGTCACTTGTAAATATTTATAAATCTTACTGTTTGGCTTTGGATGTAGTTTCAGGTAGAGATTAATTACATTTAATGAGAGCGATAGCACAAAGTGGTTATGCATTCATTTCACCAAGCTCTGCATTTGGTGCACCTGGACTGAAGTGTTGGGTTGACTCTGATGAAGTACATCTGTACCTTGGTATTTTCATTTTGATTGAAAGTGCACTGGACTTTTCTGTTCCAGAATCTGATTTAGACTGTCCCATCCATGGAATTGGTTAGTGAGCAGAATGGAGTGAATAGCTTAGTTATGTTGATATAAGGGTAAATTTTTTTTCCCCCTCCATCAATTGATTTAAAGCCAGAAGAAACACATACCTTTTAAAATCAATAGTCATTCTTAGAACAGATTTTGTATGTGGCCCAGCTGTACAGCCATGCATTCTCTATGGAGATGATGCACAGTTTCTATTCTGAAGAAAAAATTTCTGTTAGGTTTGTGGAGAAATGTGCTGAAGTGTAACAGCTGGATTTATTTTATACACCCAAATAGTGTAGCTGCAAGGTGCAGCTGTTGGGAAAGCAGTTCATGTGTCATGGCTGGAAAGTGGTGCCTGATTTGTAGCAAGTTTTACCCAGACTTTTGGGACTCACTTATATGCTAGTATTAACCAAAAATATCTGGAGAATATCACTATCTTTATGAAGCAGAAAAAAATATGTAGTAAGGAGAAAACAGAAAGAATCTTGAAACCAGGAGGAAAGTGCTTAAGTTTAAATTTTAATGCACAGTTAAGAACTTGTGTCCATAGTTTAGAAAATAAATTGTTAATAGTGACTAGAAAATTGATGGCTTGGGGAAAGTTAGGAAGTGTAATGAATTTTCCCTGGATCTAAACTTTTTTCCAAAGAAACTGGGTCACAAGAAACATAAGTTTCTCACTTCTGCTTAGTTCCTGACATGCTTGTGTTCTTTGGTTGGTTTTCAAATTGATGTGGGCAAGCACAAGCTCATGTGGAAATTTGCACAATTTGAAAGATTACATTAAAACAAATAACTGTTGAGCGGGTTGTGAGTACATACCCATCTCTCTGCTGCAGACATACCACACTACAAAATAGATAAAATGCAGTCACCCACTTCATATTGTGCAGAAAATGTGGTAGCTGTGTCTAAAATGAAGCATATGCCCTCTTTTATTGATGCCTGAGAAAGTGATGAAGATGGCTTTAGAAGCTAGGACATATGCTTAAGGTGTGTGTACACACACTAGCCTGAGTAATATTTTTCCTATAGTAACATGCTTTGCTGAAACTCTTGCTGGCATGGTATTTTCCTAGCAAGCATTCTATCAGAGGAGCTAAACTGTGTTATCAATAGACCTATGCCAGTCTTTACCAGTAAAAGAAAGCTGTAAGGATGAAAGTGCTCTTCCATGCAGTCAGGCATAGCAGAGATAGTTCCAGATATGTTCCAGTCACAATGGGATGTGTGTGACATTAACTCAATAGGGGCTGATGGTATTTCCCAAGAAACTACAAAAGGATTTTATCTGTCAATCATACCAATTTAAGGGGTAAAACTGCAAAAGTAAATATGTTTAAATTTGTCTTTGGGAAACTAAAAGGAGTACAAAATTGGCAAATTGGGATCTATGCCTGAGTTTGTATTTCAAAGCCATTTCTGTAATGGAGACTTGCTCACGAATTCAGATGATTGATCAAATAGTATGATTTTTAAAACTACTGAACATTTATAATTGAAAGACTCTGCATAAGATTAGAGTTGTTTTATGTTTACTGCTACTGTTTCTTATTTGATATGTTAAATAAGGATTATCTGAAATAACAGGAATATTTCTGAAAAGACAAAAGGTGATAAACAGTATGATGATGTTCCCTTGATGAAATTAGTAAACTTATGATATGCTTATTAAAATCAAAATAGAAGTTTATTGCAAATATAGAATGCTGTCAGCTGGACATGATTTAATTCCATATCCTGGCCTGTTGGCTCATTGAGTAACCAAGTATGATAATGTGTTTAAATACCTAAGTTGCAGCAACAGCAGGAAATGGGGTGCATCCCATACAATATAATATTCCAATTCATGGAAACCCAGATGATCACAATGGCAAGTATAATTATTTGAGCAATAGCAATATTTTCCTATGGATTTTTATGCATCAATGTATAAGCTTTAATGTCTGACACTGTAAACTCTAATTAAAGCTATTTTCATGATTTAGACTTCTCTGTGTCCCTAGTATGTTATAAGCTCTGATAATAAGCCTGCCTCTGTCCAGTCACCTGTCTCAGACTTTTAAGAACATGCTTGTCTTTTATTGCTCTTTTAAAATCTGTTTACAACTGGTCAATAGATTTAAATTAGGAAATATTGAGAACAGACTGCAGCAGCATAATCAGATAAGCAAAGTTGAAGACTTACATGAACAAAAGGTAATGACAGTATGAAATTTCTGATGATATTTTGTCAAACTCTTTGCTTGGATCATTGTTTTTAGAATACATGGAGCATGATTTTATTTTTTTTTTTTGATCAGCATAAAAGATAACAAGCTAAGCATAGAAATAATAAGATATATAATAACACTAATACATAATAACAGAAATAATTAAGAATACTCAAGAATAAAGATCTTCTAAATCTCCTGAAGATATTAGAAACATGCATGAAAATGGAAGTATGAGAAGAGAAAAATGTAGGTATTTTGCAGTGTCTTGGGCCATGGTTTAAACAGGACAATAAATGCACTATATTTGTGGTCCTGTGGATACAAATAGGTAATGCACATTTTTCAGCTTGGAAACAAGAGTGCCATTAGCAAGATAGGAGCAGCCTCTTCTTAGGGAGTTCAAGTGTAACTGTAAAATGAAAAAAATTTTAAGAATTATTTTTCCTTCTCACATGCTTCTTCCCTGAGTTGTTGTAGGCCTTCCATTAAAAGCATCACTTTTAATTTGATGGAGAGAAGTGTGCTAAATTGTGCTTGATGTCCCTTTGGACCTGGTTTTGAAAATTTATTTGGAAAAATCTCATTTGCATATGCAAATTTAATTTCATGGTTCAGCTTTGTGGAAGCAAATTTTTATGCTGTGTCCTCCTTGCTGCTTCTCTGGAGGAATGCAAAGGTGAAGGAGATGGGCTGGGAAAAGAAAAGAGAATGCAGCAAAAGGAGTGGGTTTGATGAAGAGGAAAGAGTTCTCATGGGCAAAGACAAAGTACAGAACTTGGCCAGCTTCCTCACAGAGGAAATGGAGGGAAAATGTTGAGATACAAAGAGCAGGAGAGGGCTAGAATAGGAGACTGGAGATTTTGAACGACCCAGGGAGTTGAGGCAAATTGTCCATAAATAATGGGAGAATGATTAGAAGGCAGCTGGGACAGTTCCAAGAAATGGAATACATCAGGACAGGAGAAGGTATGTTTATGATGAGTGAGTCAGTGAAGTGGTGGCTGCTTGCAGGATGCCAGCAACAAGGGAAGAACTTGGTACACAAGGACTGAAAGGAGGAAAGTGTCTAAAATGTGGGAACACTTGCATAATTTACAAGTAGGAGCAGAGTTAGACATGTGGCCCAGGAACAGAAGAGGACAGCAGCAATAGCTGCTTTGCTGCGCTGTGAGGCTTGGTAAAACTGGAAATTCCTCAGCCTTAGAGGTCTTAAATCTTTACATTTCTCTGCTGTCTGGAAATGTGTGAAGATGCTGTCCAGGTGTGAGGCTCTGCCTGATTTCTCTGCTGCCATGTCATATAAAACAGCTGAGTGCTGTAGAGTCAAGCAGTACAGGTGTGTGCTCTGCCTGCAGCTGTTCAAACCATGCTAGGCTGGTGGGTTGCAGGGCTCCACACAGCAACGTCCCTGTCTGACTTCTCAGATGTTTATTTGTTCTTTTAACATTTTAAGTGCAATATTTATCAATTCAGTCTCAAGCAAGTTCATCTGGCTGCATGGTAATGAAGGACTTGATCCTTTCATGCCAGTTTCATATATCCTTTTACATTACTGAAGTTTCTCTAGAGTCCTTTTCATACAGCTTGTTATTCTATCACAGAAATATTGCTGTATGCCAAAGAATTAGTCAAAGTTCTTGTAAAGTACAAAGATAATTGCTTAATATATTTCTCTTTTCATCTCTGTGGTCAGAACTTAACCTCAAAAATGATATAATACAGCATTATATGAAATGAAGTAGGCAATGAAGTTTCTCATGTTTCCTAAAAAGGAAGAATAAAGTGATATTTAAAGACATATTTAACATCTTTGTCTTTACTTTCAGCATCCATAGAAGTAATTAATTTTTCATTTCTTATGCACAATGGAGTTATAAAATTGATTGTTTGTATAGGTGGTTGAAGTTTGAAGAAGATGTAGAGGATGGTGGAGAGAGGTGGAGCAAACCCTATGTTGCCACATTGTCACTTCATAGCTTGTTTGAGCTGAGGAGCTGCATCCTGAATGGCACAGTTCTTTTGGACATGAGAGCTAACTCCATAGAAGAAATTGCAGGTATGTATCAATGTTTCATGTATTGCTTATAAAATTATTTAATAAAAACTAAATGCTTACCAAGAAAGTTATTGCATAATAATCAGTTCAGTTTAGAAACTCCTAGGAAATGTTTTTCTCAATGTACTGGAAAAGAAACTCATGTCTGGCACAGCTAGTAGATATTCTATTTATATTTTTAACGTGGAATCTGCCGCTTTAAGAATCAGTTTTTGAATAAAGAAGAAAATGAAAATGGAAGAGAGAGGGTAGTTTGGTTATGTTTAATTAGAGCTGGCATGTTCTCTGCTCCTGCTATGCTGCCTCACGTGAGTGAGGCGTATGCTGTCACAGACTTAATCTACTGCTATGCTAATTGCAGGCAATCTAGATAAAAAACCCCAAAATATAGGGAAGTATTTATTGCAATTAAGTTACATGAAAACAGACATGTCTCTGAGTTGAGAATGAAATCAGGAGTAATGATACAGTGTAAGTTTTAAAAAGAAATTTTAGGTACATAAACTTCTCAAGATAAAGTTGAGTGCATTTTTTTCCAATAGAAGTTTATTTGGCAGTTCCAATTCTACAGTTTGTGTGAGCAAGACAAAACATAATGGATGAGTCTTCTCTCCCAAAAGTATAAGCGAGATTGAGACTACATGCAATTTCCTGCTTTCCTGGTGTTTCCCTTAAAGACTGTAACTAGTTTAGGAAAGATACAAAAGACAAAGCAATAAAATTTTCTAACACTCAAGATTATCAAGAAAACGACTTTGTGAATGATGTATAAATCTATGTAAGTCCCATATAAAATTAATTTTACTTATTTAAATTGGAGGGGAGCTATTGTTTGGTGGGCTATATTTAACAGTGGAATTAAAATTGGCTCAGATACTGGTAGCTGCTCTTTGTATTTATTTTTCCCAAATTGTTTATGTCAAACTGATGCGAGATATTATTAATACAAATCTGCAGAAATTTGTGTGGGTTTCTACTCTGTGCTGAGATCTGATTCTTCCATGACTCATAGTCTGAATTAGACCTTCAAAATTTGTCTTGATAAAGATAAAATATAAACATGAAGAATAAAAAGCAGCTCATTTGAAAGAACAAAGGTGTCTATCAGTATGTTGCTTTAGTATATATTTATAAAAAATTAAGAAGTACTTTGGTCAGCTACTTGATGTTCTTCTATTAGTTTTTTGCTTAAATGGTACACTGGGTTTTTCAATCTTGACCTTTGTATTCTTAATCCAGAAATCACTCAACTTTGTCTGTAGTCAGCTAAGAAAGCCCTTCCAGAATTGTTTTTTAAGTAGGTAAAAAAAGTAAGGATGAATGCAAAAAAGCCCCCAACTTCAGTGAACATCCTTCCCCCCCCCCCCGTTTTTGGAAGATATTGTATATTTTCCAATATAGTGAGGGCTCAATCAATTACTGTTTATAATCTCAATCCTTACTTTTAGTGATTTTATTTCAGTTAAGTTGGCCAAGGATTTCCACATTTGTAATTCTAATGTTGAAACTCACCAGAGATGTAAGTTGGTCTTCAGTGGAGAATTTAGGGAGTTGCCCTCATGCTATTATAAGTCAGCCCTAGTTGTGACTTATCCTGGTTTGTTGATTAGGAAAACGTGTTCTGAGAAGAGGCTTTAGGATGACTTTCATTAAATGGCATGTACCAGTTTCATTTAAAAGGTATGTGTTGTTGTGGCAGATTTGGATGCATTTTATTTGTTGTATTATTTGCTTGAAGTAGTAGGTATCCCTTTCTGGTGAGGTGACCTGACACATGACAAGGTCTGCATGGGCTGTGCTTGGTCTTTGAGAGATTATGTTTTTCCTCCTCTGCAGGTTCAATAAGCAATCAATTCTAGTTTTTATAAAGCTTTGTAGCAGGTGCTTTAGGCAAGTGAATCATTGTGCAAATTACTCGCGTTCTGTCAGGTTTCTTTGAAGAGATACATTTTTTTCCTATCAAGAAAAAAAGTAGCTCAAGACTCAAGAAATAAAGTAGATACTCCAATTGCTTTTCTCTCTTAATATTACTTGTGCTGTAGCAATGCTGTTTAACTTCTCTTCTGTAGGAGAGTTTATGTAGGTTATGCCCTACAGTTTTAAGGGGTACTTCTGGATTAAATTTAATTCTTGTGCTTCTGATTCATAGTTTAAGCTTTTGATTTTTTTAAGGCAATCTTTTGATAATTTTGCTGCATTGCTATAATGCATCATCTTTTGAGAACAAATACATTATTTGTGTACATCCTCTTATTTGCCTTTGTTAGTGAGAAATGTGTGCTGTGTATTTATTGGTAATGTCTTGCTATCTGGGCTATATTCCAATATCAAATTACATTGCTATTAATGCAATGCCAGTCTTCATATCCTGAAAGAGATGTACTTAAATTTTATTGCTAAATTGAGACTAAGAATTCCTATTTGTTTTAGTCAAGGCTTTTAATCTATAAACACTCACTAAGGCATTAAACTCTTAGCACTTAGTCCCTGAGAATTTTTATTATTAAGTCTGTATTTTAGAACATTAATGGGCTTGTGGTAAAATGTACAGATGAAAGCTACCTTTGTAATGTTTGCATGGTTTCCAGAACCATGTCTTTTGTATTTTATCCCTAGAAACACTGACAGTTCTGCATAAAAATGTTTTGGTACTGTTTATGTGGTGAGGATTTTAAAGTCATCCTCTATTCCAGCATGTCCATTCTCTATTAGGTCTTTTTCATTCCAACTGTTGTATTTAAAAATTACTTCATCTACAAGATTGTATATTTCTTTGGACAGGCACACAATTTCTTTGTTGCAAAAGAGCTTTCATACCTATGATGCTGAATTCACAGACAGCATCTTATTATAATACAGAATTCTGAGGTGAATTCCCAACACTGTCATCGTACATCAGAACAGCATTTTTGTTCCTGAATTTCTCAAATTGTTTTTAATTTTTGTAAGATGGATTTTGCTTCTCTTGAAAAGAGCTCATTTCCTCAGCTGAACTTTATCCTGTTTAAAAATGCAATTTTTATTGCACATATTTTAGGGGAGTTACTACTATTTCTAATGCGTGACATTATTTTTTTATATGTCTTTACATTGACTCCTGTATCAGTAAGTTAGCACTCCATGCACAAGGAATTCCTTTGAACGTTATGTAGTAATATTTTATCGATCACTTCTGTATAGAACATATGCTAAAAGGAAGTCTGAAAAATCTATGTAATCAAAACAGTTTATTTTGGAACTTGTCTCTTGAGGATGTATTTGCCAGAATCTGGCGGTACCATTAGAGAGCAGCTTCACTGTGTTGTTCAAGTTGGCAGATGAAAATGTTCTCTTTTGATATTTTCATTTAGTTCCTTTGAAACCATGTAGATTCTCAGATTACCATCTGGTTTTTTGATTATAACCACTGAATGAACCCAAAAGGTTCCTCTATTTAACATATGATGCCATTTTCTGTTGTTTGGTTCAAAAACTATTCAGTCCAGCCTTTAATGGCAATACTTTCTTTACAGCATGAGCCACAGAACTTGCATATTCTTGTAGTTTTCTGTGAACAAATGTCAAACCTTGTCAAATAAAAACGGTGGCCTTTGTTGCACAGTGGAGCTTTGGCGACTTGCACATATTTGAAATATTCCCGTTTATTTTAAATGGTTTAATTATAATAATGGTTGCTTTTTAAAATTAAATTTTAAATCGACCCTTTCTTTCCAATCCTAAGATCTGGCTATTTTTTCCTGAGCAGTCTTTTGTATGTTCCTCACGATTGAATTTTCAATCTGTGTAACAGCTTAATCTTGTGATTGAGGTCACCAGGCTCTGTGCTCAGCAACTCAGGGCATTACATTCCAAGTGTGCAATTTTATCGATTTCGTTAATATCATGTTAAGCTTTCAATCTGAACAAGTCTTCTTTTACCTTTGTTTGCTTTAAGCTATATTATTCCATAATAACCACATATTTTACTGGCTCAAGTTGAGATTTTATGTCACTGGAGTCTTTTGTTTCATCTGCAGCTCTCACACTGTGTTATGTTTCTGACAGTGCTTTTATGGTACATTTAACTTTTATTACGAACACTGTAATAAAGGGTAGGATTGCCTGTGAGTAATCTGCTTCTCTGTTTGACCCTACACCTGTCTTTTGTTCAGCTTTCACCTTCTTGCTTACCAAGGTTTCTGCATTTGTTTGATTTATTTTCAGCTTAGCATGTGGTAATAACCTCTGCAGAGAAACTGTCAGGTTTTGTTCCTTTGTGGGTAAATTGTAGATATCGTACCAACTTCTAAGTAGCACTGTCTTTTTCTGTGGTTGTTATTTGTTTTCCCATGCTAACAAAACTGTAGAAATCTTTTTAGATTGCAGAAGTTAATCTCAGCTTGAAAAATTTATTTTTTTATGAGGCATTCACTGTGCCTGCTGTTCTGAATTGCAAGCTGGGAATTTTGGCCTTGTCTCTGCAATTTATGGTTTTGTGAAATGCTTGCTCTCGTTCCTCACTAAAATGATCTACTGTACTTTATTTTAAAAAGCAGACATTTTTCATACTTTCTTTTCTTTTCAAGTATGTTAAGTGATTATTTGAACCAAATAATTTCAGGTAAAGCTGGAAACAGAAGCTGTGTCTTGAAGCACTGGAGTGCTCTGCCCTCTTGGATGAGCTGCTAAATCTGCCAGTTTAGCTAGCTTGTTTATAATCACCCTGTAAATGATTTAATGGGTCTTGGTTCACAAGTGCAGCCCAGGAATCCTAATTGTTTGTATTGCTCCTCCTGCCTGACTCACTAGGGAAGGATATATTTGGGTTCCTCTTTAGAGACTTATGAAGAAAAAGGACAGTGCTCCACCTGATTGTCTTCCATAAAGCAATGAATTAGGGTTGCTTTTTATTTTCTTCCCTGTCTTTAAGGGCAATGACCACAAGCCAGAAGGACTTTGGCTTTTAAATTAAGTTTTGCAGCTATCACCGCAATTGTGATGCACACAGAAGCCTGTGTTTTTTATACTTTATCATTAATCTCTTATTTTGTCCTGCAACTGTACAGTTATAATATTTGAAAGTCTGAATGCCAGCACTCTTGCTGGTGTATACTGAATGCAGTTTCTGCTGTAAACTGTCAGTGCCAACCTACATCAGGAGAATATGAGCTCAGTAATTTCTTTTTGGACTTCACAGGTATTTTGATACAAATGCAGTATGTTTTCTACAAATTTATTCTATATTTCACCTGAACATTCTGTGTGTTATTGCACATGAGGTGATGAGCACACTGTGAACCTGGTGCAGTGGGGAGCGAGCTGTTGCCACACTTGAGAGACTCCTTATTGTCCATTTGCCTGGACCTGTGGGGACTCCTGGAAGCTGCAGTGTGTAACACGCCCCTCCAGAGTGAGTGGAGGCAGCCAGCCTGCTTTTGCATCCTTGCCGACTCTAGAGGTGGGACAGATGGAATTTTCTTTGCTGGGCCACACATGAGCCATCCTTCATTTGAACAGATACAAATTGTCTGCACCCCAGTGCTGGAACTCGCAGCCTGGGTAAATTGTTCACAGGTGGTGATGAGCAATAGCTCAGTTACTGTAATAGCTTGTTAAAGTACTCACATTGCTCAGATTTACTCACAAAATAATTTTATACAGATGATGTATTGTAACTGAGTCTGAATGGAGAAAACATTCTTAAAATGATAGGAAAACCCAAGTTTCTTTGAATTCTTTTAAATGACTGGGTCAGGGAGAGTATCTGTTTTTAACAGCTTGAAAAAATTATTTCATGGTTCCAGTCTTAACCAAGATCACTTACTGAAGAAACATCCTACTTTATCCTACTTCTACTGTCTTGATGTCAGCAGAAATGCTACAGTGTGAGCATTTAACAGAATGGGTAACACTGTGCTGCTGGATATTCCACAGGTTCCATATCCTTCTGAAAGCTTCATATGGAAGTGAAGCATCCTTGAAAAATGGAATGGTAAACTGTGTGTCTGGCTAGAATTGGGCTGTGCAGAATTTAAAAGGATATTCAAGAAGAAAATTCTTTAAAACAAAGATTCTTTACTACTTCTTTTTTTTCATATGGAGTGTGAAGAAATGGCTGCCTGTTCTAGATACAAAAGTGAAGACCAGGGCTTTGAAAATATGTACAGCTTCAACTGATATGAAGGCATTTCTACTTACAGGATTAAGTGATTACAGTCTATTTTGAAAATTAAATGTTTTAAATGCTCCTTTTGGCCTTTTCCTCTTGGAAATTAACAATGCTGCTTTTGTTTTCAAGGCAATCTTTGCAATTAAGGGTGTTACTGATATTGCAGGGGCCTGGGCTTTTAAAAATATTTTGAGAAGCTTGGGAAGAAATTGAAAAAAGAATCCCATGATAGAGGTGGATGGACACAGTCTTTTTATTCCAGCTCATATCTGTGCAGGGCTTGAAAAAAGGGTCAAAATACAGCAATCTGTCAGAAATTTGACTGTATTTAAGCTCCTACAGCTGCTACTGCAACTGGGTCTATGTTAAAAGAATGACAGCTGGAAGGAAATACCAAGGCAAGAAAACACATCTTCACTCTTTCCAAAACTGAATACATCTTCTCCTATTACACATAGTAGCAGTGCTACAGTAAAAGGAAAGCCATTGTAAAAACCCAAAAATCTCTAGGTAAGCCATTTTCTTCTTTCTGGCAGGAAATAAAAAACTGCTAGTCACCACACTGGCAACAATTCTGTGGCTTCTATGGCTGTTAATAAGTCTAGCAGAGCATCCTAGGGGAAGGAAGAGGATAAGGATTTGATTTTCTTTTTCCTGTCATTTTCTCTCCTAAATGGATAAACTTAAATATTGACATCATCCTCAGCAGTTAATATATTTTAATATTTTATGTGAAATATACTGTTATTCCAGGAATGACACTATACAAGTAGAGTTGCACTTATCTGTAAGCAAGGGTTTGACCACAACCCTAAATTTATGTGTCCTAAAGGAAACCTTTTTTTGAGCTCTTCCTTTGGATTCATGTACTAAGGGTGTCTAAAGGCAAGATAGTCATATCCTTAGGGCAGAGGTGTGTCTTAAAAGGCATTAGAGTTGAGGAGGAAAATAAATATTTTTCTTGAGCAGAAGATTGGTTTCCATTTGTCACGTGTTGCAAATTCTTGTCAGCCCTGTGTCTGATAGTGCACAGTTGCTGGGGGGGATCCTGTGCAACATTGAAAGCCTGTGCCTGATTCTTCATTGCAAAGCTCTGGATACATCGCTCATGGTCACACCTGTTGGCAGCTGCATTTACCTGGACCCCATCCTTGTCCTTCTGTGTGCATATCACTGTAGATGTCAATGTAGACTTGCTGGTAGCCTCTCCATCACAAGTGAAACATGCAGGTTTCTTCTTGTTCAGCTCTCAAGCAGGTGTGTAATACATTGGCTTGTTATGTTGATATTGAGAGCATCAGAAAAACTTGTGTATTTTGAGTGTATATTCAGTGCATAGGTGACTGTTAGCAATTAAACTCTGCTTTTAACCAGCATGGTGATTTAATGCATTTTATTATCTCCCATTGCTCCTGGCTGTTATCAAAGACATGACAAATAATCTCTCTACTGATGATGCATCTGCTTTTTATTTTTCCTGCTCTGCTTGCTTTTCCACTGAGTTTACTGGCAGATATGAATCTGATTCCAGCACAGAATCATGAGCTGTCTGGATTTTCAGTACAAGAAGTTTTGGACTCAGCTTATTGTATCACTATTTTTGTCCAGTACAGTTTCTTCCAATTGATATACAAGGGCAGTGTGTACTTAAATTCTGTATCAAAGCATATATAACAGCATTTTTTTCCTTAATTTTTCTGTTAAGCATCATTATTGTTGGTAGCAGTATTTCCCCAAATAATATTTTTTAAAAAATCCCACAAAATTCTCAACGATTCTTTCCCATTTGAAACACATAATTAATGTCATAGAATCATGAAATCATAAAGATGTGTGGGCTAGAAAGGAACCATAAAGATCATCTAGTTCTGATCCCCCTACTGTAGCAAGGACACCATTAAGTAGACCAGTTTGGTCAGAGCTGCATCCAACCTTGCCTCCAACACCTCCAGGGATGTGGCATCCACAGTTTCCCTGAGTAACCTGTTCCAGTGCCTCAGCACCCTCACAGTAAAGATTTTTTTCCTTATAATTTTAAATTACTCTCAATTTAAATCCCTTACCCCTTACCCTGTTACTATGTGCTCTTGTAAACAATCTTCCTCTATCTTTCCTCTAGGTTTCCTTTAAGTACTGGAAGGCTGGAATTAAGTCACCCCAAAGCCTTCTTTTTTCCAGGCTTAACAATCCCAGTTCTCTCAGCCTGGAGCTTGCCTGCATGATGCTTCCTGTAAGTGGAGCAGGATGAATTCATCCACCTCTGCTTCTGGCTGTTCTTCAGAGGCAGCTCCTCATGTTCAGTCCCTGTGGGGATGTAGAGGGTGATTCCTCAGCCTCTCCTTCCTTTCCTGGCTCTTACGAACAGCTGTAGCCATCGATAGCCACACTCCAGTTGTGGAACTTGCCCCACAAAGTGTCAGTACCCACAAAGACCCACAAAAGTCATAACTTTCTAGCAGCAAAGTGGCTTCCAGCTCCTTCTGGTTTTTGTCCATTCTGAGTGCTTTGGTGTAAAAGCACCTCACCGGGCTGTGTCACCTTCCTAGAAGAAAGGCTGGGTATGTAGAAATAGTGTTGAATATGAATATGTAAAACTATTTTCTGCTAGTGCACCGCAAAAATGGTTTTAATTTCTTAGTAGGGGGATCAGTTTCACTCTCACCTCCTTGAAATTATCCTCTTGCAGTAACATATACATCTGGCAGCAGAAATAGATTCTATTTGGTAGCGACAAATAATGCAGCAATTTTTCTGTATTGTCTTACCTGAATTTTCTTTGCATTACGCCAAAGGTATTGTATAGCTACAAGAAAGAAAGACTGATCTCCTGTGCTAAGTACAAAGGGAATAAAAAAAAAGTTTCCTCTCACAGCCAGTCCTTTGTAGGAAATAGAATAGGGATTATTTGGAAAAAGACATTTTATACACATCATAACCCTGGATTTAAATATGTTATATGTAAGAGTGCTAAGAACTGGCTTCAGTCATTGTACAGATGACCTTAATTTGTGAATAGTGTATTTTTTTGAGGATTTTTAAAATATTAATAGCATCCTTTTGTCCCTGCCCTTCCCCTGTCTCTCTCCATATTGAAAGTGAAATGCTTCTAGATGAAACTTACTTTTAATTCTGTTGCATTAAAGGAACTGGTGCATTTCAGTTGCAATCCTGTAGGGTACTAATCATTATTATTATTGCAATTTAAGAGATAAATTGTTTCCTTTTCCCCCTCTTTTATTATGTTTGTGTGTTTATTTTCAGATATGATTCTGGACCAGCAGGTGGGTTCTGGGCAGCTCAGTGAGGATGTTCGTCACAGAGTGCATGAGGCATTACTGAAACAGCATCACCACCAGAACCAGAAGAAGCTGAGCAACAGGATCCCAATTGTAAGATCCTTTGCTGATATTGGAAAGAAGCAGTCTGAGCCCCATTCCATGGATAAAAATGGTAATGCTTTACTTTGCATTTTGAGCCTTCAATAGCATCTGCCTGTTTGGTATTGCATGTGCTTTGTACCCACAGCTTAACAGTGTGATCCTGCTCTGAAAAGCTACCCTGTAAAAATGGTACAAAAAAAAAATGGTTTTGCATGGGAGTGGCTCCTCTTATGAATTCAGAAATATACCTGCTCAAATTTGAAATCTGGCTACCTTTCACAGCTCAGGGCTGGGCAGAGCTATTCAGGGGAACTTGCTGTGGTGTTGGAAGCTGTGCTGGATATCCTGGGTAACTGGCATGGCGTGTTATTTCCAGCGCAGCTTTAGGTGTCCTGTGCAATTCCTCAGACTGAGCTTGAGCATCTTTGCACAGGGTTGTCCTGAGCTGTGGACAGGCTCCAGCAGTGCCAGGAATGTGGTAGGACTATTTTTGACTTCTGTTGACTATCCAGGACCTATTTATTTAAAATGTAGTGGATTGTTGAAACAGCTTATGCATTAGCTAGAGTTCAACTGCTGCTTCATATTTTATAGGTGAGTTTGAGGGGTTGAAAAATGAGGCAAGCATTTCAAGATAACACTGTTGGAGAGTTGTCACAAAAGCTGTACCTTGTTCTTTCAAAAAATCCCTTTTGGGAAAATCAGGATAATGCTAATGAGAAATGTTTGCAGAATGGTTCTAAAGTAAAATGTTGGCATAACTTTTTTTTTTTTCCCTTGCTTTTACAGAAGACCTTACAAGGTCTATTGCTGTGCAGGTCATCATAATGAAAGATAATTTCTTATTGCCCCTTCCTTATTTGCATAAACAAAGGTTTGGGTTATGAAATTGACAGCCAAATTTTGCAAATATTTTTCAGTTACCTCTTGTTCCAGAGATCAACTGTAGTCAAATCCTGGTCCCTTCTGCTGTCACTCTGTTTCAGAGTTCTACTGAGCTCTCCTATCACCTTGGGAAGTGGGGAGTGAAGAAACAGCCATAGCACAGGGAAAGGTCAGGATTGCAAGAGGCATTTGTGTGCTCTGAGGCATAGGACAGAAGGCAAAGAGCAGTTATTTAGCTGATCTGGAAAGATTGGGCTGCTTATATATAATAATTGTTAACTTGATTTCAAGGAAGAAGGTTTTTTTCAATCATTGCCATATAAAGTTTTAAGAGATCTAAATATAGTTGCTTCCCTGGGGAAGATTCTAGACCTAAAAGGCAAGATATAATTTCATCTGATGAGGATATTAAATAGAAGCCTTAATTGTGGCAAAGTGTCATTGTAAGAGTAAGGAAAAAAATAATATTTACTAAGAAGTGTGTGATCATGCATACGGATGCACAAGAGTAAATGTAAGTAGGATGATTGTCCATCCTTTTTAAGGCAACTTTCTTGTTGATTTATACAGCTTTTGCTGATGACTTTAAACAAATACTCAGGAGACACTAGAGAAAGTTAGTGATATAATGATCCTGCACTTAATTTCCACAGGATGTAAGATGGCAGCTTGCATTCCATTAAGCTTTTTGTGCTAGATCTTATGTAATAAATAGCCATTAGTTGCTTTAAGAAGAACTTTCTGGCAAGCTGTGAAATTATCAAGAGCTCAATTTTGGTAACTTTCTGTGTCTGTTAGTGGAACTAATGCAGTAATTCACTCCAGAAACATCTTGCATTTGCCTAAGTTTCTTCTGGCAAACTTCCTAGCTCTTCCTAAATTCCCCCCAAAAATAAATTCTCATCAGGATACCATCTAAGTCCATAACAAACACACTAATTTTATAAACTCAGTGATTAAGTGATTCTCTTAAGTAAGGAGACATATTACAGTTTTTCATTTGTCTGTCTCTATTTTGCAAGATGAAAAAATGCTTGTGTGGAAATGTCTCAGAGTGCTCTGACCTCTTAAAAAAAAAATTGTAGTCACTTTTAATGTGTTAATTTAAATTAAATATACCAATAGACATAATAGAAATTATATATATGTAAAAAATAGAATAACCTATAGAGATTCAATAATTTTCAGGAAGCTTATATGAAAATATATCAGATTTCTATCTAAATTACAGTGACAAGTCCTAAGCATGAACTTTTTGGATAACATGTTTTTTAATCAATTTGAGGCATTGTTCTACTTGCGTCCTTTAAGTGCTGTTGTATGTTTGGCAGTCTCCTGCATTGACTGCCTCAAAATTGATGATGGCCCTGTGATTAAACAAGGAGGATTTGTTTGTTGGAGGTTTTTCTCTTATCATCCATTGCCCTGTTACATTAAAATGTCTGAATCTTATTTTATTGCCTGAATTGCTTTGAAATTAGTATTAGCTTTAGAAAATGAAAATCTAGTCTAAATTTTTTGTTCTAAAATGAACTAGATTTTTTTCCATTTTCAAGACAATTACAAATAAGCAGCTCAGGGTTCTGAGTGGCAGCTATTGCCTGAGTACTCCAGGATTTAAGAAGTGGGAAAAGAGAATTCTGGAGAGCTGCCTAGTTTCAGATCCACTAACTGTGCCTCTTCTGGCATACTCTTAGTTATTTCCTCACCCTATGTAACTTGCAAGTGTAGATGGTGTGTAAATTATGCAGGAATCTGCGCTGAAATGCTCAGCTGTCAGGAACTCTGCTGTTCTTAGAAGCTTGACCAGGAGTAGCAGTGAGTTTTCTGATCATTTTCTCTGCCAGTGCCTCCCAAAGGCTGGAGTTCAGCTACAGTGTTATGCTCACTCTGCTGTATGTTTCTTTTTAGATTGCCATGGACTGTCTGTACAAGCTACTCATAGTAATATAAAAATGTATTGTTAAAATAAAAGTTTGATTAATGTAAAACCAAAATCTGAGTAAGTGTAAAATAAGAAAAACTAAGGTATTTAAACAACTTATATTATTGTCCAGGACTGTGGTGTAAGACACATCTTGTTTCCTGAGAACAAACTGGTAAAATGCATTTAAGGCATCATTTTAATCTGCTTAATCCCATTTGTCCATAAACATTGTCTAGAATGTATGAAGATAAAATGTTTCTAATATTGCCATCAGTATTTTTTTCTCCTTTTAATAAAAAGGAGGCATAAAAATACTGTTGCTTTTCTTTCTGGATGACAAGCTTCATTCCAGGCTGCGGGGAGAGAAACAAATCCTCTTGGGTGCTGCTGGTGAATTTACAGCCCAGCAGAGACAGGAGTTCTCATAAAGAGCACGTGCCAGGAGCTTTGCAAGGGACACTTGTTTGTTCCCACCGAAATGAGACATGGGAACTTGGACACTTTTTCTGCACAAAAGGAAGTTGTCTCTTTGGTTAAATTTGGGGTTAGTGTTAGACAGTTGAGCTGGAAACAATCCTTAGCAGTCTGTTGATTGTAAAAAAGGTGATTCAGAGCCCGAAGTCCCTGATCTGTGGGTTATGTGGTACAGCTGAGGATTCAAACTCCCTTCTTTGTTCAAGTTCTTGACAATAGCTTATCAATGTGTCAATTTTCAGATGTTCAGGAGCAAAGTCTTAAAATGAGTACATAAATTAATTCAATATATGGCAGCACTACTGACAGGCCATTGTGATATCTTTGCTGGAAGACAGTTGTACATATGTTCTCCCTCCATTTTTCTTTGTTTATGAATCTGTCAGACCATCTAATTAATTTGCTTTGTATTTAGTAGTATTATCTTTTGTTTACAATGGCTTTTTTTCACATCCTCTGCAGGGCTAAGATGTCAGGGTGCTATGGATTTACCATGCATTTTTAATGCTGCCATGCTGTGTTTAACTTTCACTTTTCATTAGGCATCAAAACTGTGAGAATTAAAAGCCTGCTTTTGATGTTCCAATAAAAAACGACAGTCAAATTTGGCATAAGAGCAGAAAAAAAAGACTTTTTTTTAATGGGCTAATTTGACACCAAATACCCAAAACAGAGAGTAGCAAGTGATTTTAGCATAAATACTATAAAAGGTAAAATATGATTCTTTTTTTTTCCATTGGTACATCATCTTTAGAAAGTTTGCTTTATAAAGTGATTTCACCTATTTTCATTGAGATGAGTAGGTTTCACACTCTGATAGCTCAGAGCTGTGTTTGTAAATTCCTATGGCATGGCCTAAAAATCCAAAGTCAACTGCAAATATATGACACCTCTCTGTTTTAGAGGAATGCTAAAATAATTTCATAAGCCTCTCCCCTTTTATAGACGGGGTTCTGAAATTCAGAGTTTAAGCACCTATGGTGTGAAAAAATAACTGATTCTGTGAAAATGTAGTTAGGAAAAGAAGTTTTCATCATATAAACTTTAAAGGTTTTGACTGGCTGTTTCACTTTTAGTCTAGGGGTGTGTATGTTTTATTCATTTATACATTTATAAAAATAATCAAAAAATATTTATAATGATATCTAACAGACCTTATACTGGTTAAAGCCCAAGAGGAAGGAACTCAGGAGAGGAGTATGGCAGACTAAGTTACTTTTATTTTCATGCACCTTGCTGAAGTGTTCTTTACCATCAATAACATGATCTTATGCCTGTTTTCTGTTCCATACTTATGCCATTTATAAGAGCTTCTTTTCCCTTGCCATCAGAGCAGGCACATTATTAGTGTAAAACTTGGGTTGCACGACACACCATGTCTGATTCTGAGAAATCCTGAAATTCCAAGCAGACATTTATTTGCATTCCATGGAGCTTGAAGGAAGCATGGCATATTAAATTTGGGATCTCCGGAGTTCATAGCATGAGCTGCTGAAGCTGTTCATTTTGACATATTCTCTTTTTAACCCTTTTCCAAGTTATTTCAGTTAGTATGATGGGCTGGTTTGGAATTCATTCTTTTGTGGCAGTATGAGCACAAGCAGAGGTATTGGAGCCTATGCTTGTCCTAATTTAGGATAGCATCCTTCAGTATTCTGGAAAATCAAAATTCTCAGTTATGTTATGGTAGTTACCTTCTTCAGTTTCCCAATCTTTTCTAAAGATCAGTTCAAGGATTTATGTCAAAGCTTGGAGTGGGCTTACGGAATGTGAACATCCCATGT